CTCTTTCCTGGCCGTTTGCCCAAGCAAGACAGGCTATCTTGGGAAACAGGCTGATTCAATAAACAGTCCTCCCTGAGTTCCAGGTGTGGTTGATTGATAAGGTCAGCAGCAGGCTCAGAGGACTTCTGGTTTTCTGTAGCTAGGGCATTCCATCACCTAACCCCCCAGCACCTCACCCTGAGCTTGTGAGATCACAAATGCTTTTAAAAATCACTGTTTGGGTGGGGGCATAAATGTAGTAATAAAGATTTAATACTTCTACCTTACATGCACAATGCTTAGCTTGTAAGGCATATATAATACCCATTTTAGAGTTAAGTACCCTAAGGTTAAATAGCAAAAGCAATTTGTTCAAAGATTACATGGCTCTATATGACAAAACTGTGGTTCAGAGTCAGTCTGGCTAGACTTTAAATACAACACTCTTCCCCAATTCTGCCTGACCTACTTCACCTGAGTCTCAAAAGCAGAAATGGAAGCAACATCCCTCATAATCCCCCTGTGGATGTTAGGAATCCATGGCGCCTTCTATCTAGCACGTGCTAGACAAGTGTTCTACCACTTAGTCACACCCCTACCCCCTAGCTGGTGGATCCTAGATCAGCACTCTACTGGTTAGCCATACCCCTAGCCCATTCCTGGTGGATTCTAGCCAAATTCTCTACCACTGAGTTATGCCCCGAGTCCCTCGCTGTTAGATTCTAGCCAAGTGCTCTACTTATGAGCCACAGTCCTAACCCCTCGTTGGTGGGTTCTAGGCTCTATTGCTGAGCCACACCTCTAATCCCTTGCTGGTGGATTCTAAACACTGAGCTATGCTCCCAGTCCCTCACTGGCAGATTTTAAGCTTGTACTCTACCGTTGAGTCATACCTCCAGCCCCCTCACTAGTGGATTCTAGCCAAACACTCTACAACTGAGCCACACTCCAAGACCATTACTGGCAGATTCTAGGCATATGCTCTACCACTAAACCACATTACCAGCCTTCTTTTTGTTTTTTGTTTTGAGACTGGATTTCACAAAGTTTCCCAGGCTGGCTTTGAACTCACTGTGTAGCTCAAGCAGGCCTTGAACTTGCAATCTCCTGTTTCAGCATCCAGAGCTGCTGGGATAGCAGGCCTTCACCGGGCCCAGCTAGGAACACTTTCAGCTGCTTCTCTGCTAAGCTGGAGCCCAGGAAAATGCTGATATTTTCTTATCAGTTAAAGTGGATTGTGAAGCTAGGGGTGGTAAGGGGGAAGCCCTTGCAGAGTTGCCTTTAATCCATATATTTTTAGACACTTCTTTCTGAAATAAAACAACTTCTTGAAGTTTTATGTATGTCAGATGGATAAAGGGCTAGGAGCAATTGCAAGAGGTTGATCAATTATCCCCATCCCCAGTCATGCTATTTGAATTTCCATGTTCTTTTGAGGCTGTTCTTGGGGATATGA